AATGCAAAAGCCAATACCTATATTGCCATTTATAATATTAATCATTTGCAAGGTTCAGTCTTCTACTTATTACATGGTGAAGGCACACCAGGAAAAGTAAGAAACAAAAATACAGAATCAATCAATCCAAACCAAAATAAACAGAAAACTATTTATGTGGAGGTAGGGGGTGTGTGGGGTGTGTGTGACAAAAGGATGAAAGGGGTAAGGATAAATAGGAGTATGACCTAAAGGCTCAATAGCGCTTTACAGCATTTAAACATAACAGCACCTTAAGTTTAACAGCACTTAGCTTAACTTATAACTCAAATGTAACAATTTAGCACAGGACTCATTTAGGATTTAATATATTACAGTTTTCTGCCTGCCTGAGAGCTGCCAGAAAGAAGGTTTTGAGAACCAAAATCTTCTCTGATGCATGATTTAGCACCTCAGGTGAGTTTGGAAACATCTTCATACTGGATATCTTTGACTCTGCAGCCTTTTAAAGGTCCTGAGTGAATGGTTATTGTCACTGAATTGGTCAAATCAATGGACCCCTGGCTGCGATACAAACCGGGGAAAATTAAGCCAAGAAACTGTAAAGGCTGTTGGTGCAACAGGAAAAATGGAAAAACCCTTCTTTAACCCCATTAACATTAAATTCAGAAAATAGTGGATAATACACCAATTTTTATATATGCGTGAGTGTCTGGTTCCTCTTTTAGGAAGAGACCTGTTATTAAGTCAATTGGAGGCTCAGATAGTATTTAGAGATGGAGAAATACAATTATTGGTACCTGAGACTAAAACCATCAAGGCAAGGACTTTTATGTTGCAGGGAACACCAGAACCAGACAATTCTGGAGGAATACCCAGAAGCAGTAGCAAATGCAGTAACATCCCTGGTTTGAGCCAGTGGAACTCCAGGCTATTCCCAACAAGCTCAGGCTGTGTTACCCTAAAAACTGGATCAAGGCAGAAATCACATCCTTTAAAATTAGAAGCTAGAAAGGAAATCAAGAGTCTAATAGAAAATTTCAGGGAAGTTGGATTATTGGTGGAATGTGAGTCAGACTATAACACTCCTGTTTTGACCAGTTAAAAAGCCTGGGACAGATATGTACAGATCAGTGCAATCAATGAAATAGTCCAGGATATCCACCCTGTTGTAGCTAATCCTTATATTCTGTTGACAGCCCTTGTGGAATATCACCAGTGGTTTAAAGTGATAGATTTGAAGGATGCCTTCTTTTGCATACCTCTTGATAAGCAAAGTTGGGGCATTTTTGTCTTTAAATGGGAAAACTCCCAAACTGGTCAGAAGACTCAGTTTGCCTGGACTGTGTTACCACAAGGATTTAAAAACAGTCCAATGATTTTTGGGAACCAACCGGCAAAAGAATTAGAAGTCTGGAAAAAAGAGAACCCAGAAGGGTTGCTCCTGCAGTATGTTTATGACATCTTACTAGCAACGGAAACTAATGAAATGTACATGGCATGGACTGTGAGTGTTCTAAATTTCCTAGGCCAAGGAGGTTACAAAGTATCTCAGAAAAAAGCTTAAATCATGAGGCAGCAAGTTACCTACCCGGATTTGAAACAGTACCAGGACAGTGAAGGCTGGGGAGGGACAGAAAAGAAGCTATCTGCCATGCACTCTAACCTGCGGCTGCCCAAGATTTTACAGCATTCTTAGGTATGACTGGATGATGCAGATCGTGGCAAGTTGCTGAAGACAGCAATGCTATCCACAAGGCCCCTGAAACTAATTGGTTCAATAAAATTCTCCAAGGAATAGGGGAATGGTCCCTGAGAGGATGGCTGACTAAAATACTGGAAACCACTGTAATTACAGTTGTAACTGTAGCAATTTTTGGTCTTGCTATTGATCATATTTGCAGAACAATCAATTGTGGTCTTGCAAGAATGTATACAATTGTAGATAGAAATTGAATTGAAACTTACCAAATCATCTTACCAAAGCTGAGAAGTTTCAAAGGGAGGAATTGGTACCATGAGGGCTAACTCAATTTCTACTGCATCTGTGAAATTATAGCTGAGAAATAAAGCATGCAAAATCTGCTTTACCAGCAAGGACAGCTGGAAGAGGAGAAGACATCTGGCTCAGGAATGCAGCAATAGCCAAAACAAGGACTGAGTTTGGGAACTTGGAGAGGGTTTTATGGTAATTGCCAAATTGCATGTAGTGACTGTATATAAGCAAAACACTTGTAAAATCATGCGCACAAACAACGTTAGTAGCTATCACCTGCGTAACCAGGGGTCTGAATAAATGATGTCCTTCTTAACATGAAATTGGTGTTAAGGAGTCTTAGTCCACTAGTTTTCAGTGGATTTGGCGACAGTTCAAGCTGAGATTTCCCTTAGCAGAATCTCAGTTGTCTCTCATTCCATAAAGCCATTTCTTCACAGCACAATAATACAGAAACAGCTCAAGCTGATGCCTCTGAGGAGGGACCCCAAACAAAGGCTTTTATCCTCTCACAGTCGAAGCAATATGCAAGTCTTCCTCTTGACTCCTCTGCTCCTACTGTGTCTCCCAGTGTCCATCCATCTGGCTGGCACCACACATTTTATTGCCATTTGTTGAACAAAGTGTTGGTAGTTCATGGCCTCTTGTCTCTGGCTCCCACCCAGAGCTCAATCTGCAGTTTGCAAACCAAACTACCTGCACCAGACTCCTCAATATTCACCTCATGGTGGCTGGTAATTACAGGAGGGTTTTGTCCACTTCTCCAGACTCATTGCAGCAGCTGGCTCAGGTCACCAGGCTGCAACAATTAAGACTCATTCCAATGGGAGTAGGCAGTAAATCTTGACAAAATGTCTAAGTTAGATTGTAACAAATGGTGGGTTGTGACACGAGCAATAATTGAACTCCCATCCTACAATTTTAGTAAAATTACAAATACAGGATTTGAGTGATTGTATGTCTCCCCAGTGGTGTTGTCGGTAAATAAAAAAATCACAAAGGATTTGTATAAAATGCATCCTTTTCCAACACACACTAATACAGGTTCAACAGTTTAATCAGGATGTGTTTCAAAATGACAAACATTTTGTTCAATGTCAAGACAAGTGTCTTAGGCCATAATTGTATGACTTTCCCAAGAAAATATCAGTTGTTCCTGTACGACACATGCATCAACACCTCATCCTTGTGACACCCCCTGCCCTCTTGATCATCCCTTCCCCAGCCATGCCAAAGCCCTTTCAGCAGTTTCGTGAAGTGGGGGTCCCATGCCCATTTTTTACTTTATTTAATTCCTTTTTATCAGCATATAAATCCCAACTATTAATTTCATTAAGTATTATTATAGCATGTTTTATATCAACACTTCTCTGGACATATATATTGAATATGTTATATATCTTTATTTATATATATTAAATGTGTCTAGGTATAAATAAAAAATACAGGCCTGCTCTTACACACATATACACATATTACATATATATTACTCTCTATGTATATATACATACACAGTCAAGCATGAAGGACACAGAATATGTCAAATACCAATCACATCAGAGAAGCTGATCCAATGGGATCAATGCCTTATTAAAAGAAAAGATGCATGCACAGCACCCCTCTCACACTTCCTATAACGGGCCATCAGTGCTATTACAGGCTGCAAAGAATTTGAAGAGTAAAGCACGTTTCCAAGGCTTTACCTTTATCCCTTCTGCCAGACACGGTAAACAATTTCAGTTTTTCACCTATGTTTCTCATTCTTTTTTCACTCACATTTCCTGCTCTTTTCTACCTCTTGTTTTCCACCCTTTCCATTTTCCCACTCACTTTTCAAGCCCTTTTTCCTCTCCTTCTTCCTGACCTTTTCCACTTCACATTTCCTGCTCTTTTCTCTCTCTTTCTCCATCTATTTAAACACTTAAAATGTTAGAAAATGGGGGACTTTCCCTCAAGTTGAACTCTTAAAACCAAGGGATAACAGGGATCCACTTGAAATTTAAACCTTAAGATGATGAAAATGGGGAGTTTGCCCTCAATTCAAACCCAAAAAACGGCATCATAAAGGTTTTCCTTTTCCCTTTAAACTAGAAAATAACAATTCTCTATCAACTGATGCCCTAAATCATGGAAAAGACAAATTTTCCTTCAATTGTTACCCTTAAAATTGTGGTGAAGGGAATCTCCTCCAATTTAAACATAGACAATAATAAAAAAGGAGGCTTCCCCTTCAAACACCTCTTTTTTTCTGAGATGCTCTAGGAAGGGACTGGGATGGGACCAAGGGCACTTGGAAGGCTTAGGGCTTGTCCCTTCACACATCCTAAGCAATGCTCCAGGAGCATCCAGATGTTCCCCCTGCCCCTGCAAATCCTGTCATTATTATTCTTTGAGAGATCCTGAGAGATCACCCACTCCAGCAGGTACAGAAACCCTCCTGAAATCAGCCCTTAGCAGGGCCTGCCCCTCCTCATCCTCACTGACCACACCTGGTCATTGATTTAGACACGCCCTAGACATTAATTTACACAGGAATTTCATTAAACCCCACTCTGAGTCTTAATGAGCTGAGCAAACCTTGCTGATTTCATATTAAGTATGAAGTTGGCTAATACGGAGAAGTATGAAGAAAAATACAAATGGTAGTCACTGCTATAAAGTGTGCCAGCATCGGGCCCGGGTTACGGCATCAGGGAAAACCCGGACTGGCTTTGCCCAGAGTACGGAAGAGGGGAAAACCTGGACCGGATTTAGCCGGAATACGGAATTGGGGAACTTCGGATTGGATCGCGGCTCGATCCCGGAATGGGTGCAAAAGAAGGGGCTTGATCCCCGTCTTTTGTGCAGAGATGTACAGCAGATATTACACACACGTTACCTAAATACCACATCGGCGGGGAAGAGCCGTTTCGGGGCGGGTGCATGCGGGATGATTGATACCCTGCACAGCTGCACAGGAGCAGAGGAAGTTTGGGTGCTACTGCTCGCCGTAGGTGAAGCGGCCGCAGTGGCTGTACTCTGAGCGATGGCGGCCGGCGCGGTCCGGTGCCGCTTCGCGGTGGTGGGCGGCGGCATCGCGGGGGTCACCTGCGCCGAGAAGGTAACGGGGCCGCGCCGTGCCGCCCGCGCTCGGCGCCAGCCGGGAACTGTCCGCAGGGAACCCATGGCGGAACCTCCGGCTGCCGGGGCCATTGGCCCTGTGCCGCCTCTGGAGGCGTAAAGCCCTTGAGGGCCAGCTTGCGCACAGCTGTAGAAACAGATCTACGTAGCAATTGCATAAATATTCGCATGTGTACAGTAGTTCCATGCTCTGTCCTACACCACCCTTAATCCGCATTTCTTAAAAATATTTTGTCTCGCTTGAGAAAACACAAACCACAGCCCCAGGCTGTGTATATGGTGTGATATAACGATACGTATCTGTGTAGAAATAAATTTCAAGAGGTTCAAACTTGATAAGGTTATTTTGAAGCCCTTTACCAACGCTTCATAAAAGCAGAGATGCAACTTCATAACTGCAGAAAGCTGGTACTCTGTGCGGTGTTCCAGAGGTCAGTGACTTCAGGATCCCTTCAGGAATTATTCCATAAAGGACTGTGCTGCAGCCGAGCTGAAGGCTGCTGTGATGTCCTCCTTATTATTAATACAGCTCAGTTTTTATAGGCTCCATGTTTTAGAGCTGTATACCTCATCTAGCTCTTTTGTGAGCCCAAGCTCTAAAAATAATCTGTTCCTTGGTCTTAAGGTTTTATTGTGTTAAAGTCTGATGATGATGCTTATCATGGTTTCTGTTTCTTTACAAGCTGGCTACAGAATTCCCATCAGAAGACATTTTTTTAATGACAGCTTCCCCAGTTATAAAAGCTGTAACTAATTTCAAGCAGGTAAGAAAGAGTTAATTTTTCTTACAGTAAGACATGTTCAAAGTTTATATGTGCAGATAATTTAGAATCCAGTAGTGAAAATGCTCATGACGTGGAGCTTGTTTTCATACTAGTGTGATTACAGTGGTGTTAGAAGGATTGATGAGCTATTTTATAGTGGTGTTAGTAAGACTGACGAGCTATTTTATAAAGGTTAGTAATTGGTGAACATATTCACCCCATTCAAGCAAAGGTTAAACCAGGTACTTACATGGTTGAAGTGTGTTCAGAGTTACTGAAGCTTTATTTCACTGCTTTATTAGTGAGTGACCTCTTTTAAGCACTGAAGTGGTATCATAGTCGTGCTTATGTTTTAATTTGGGGCAGAAACAGCCTTCTGACAAGTAGCAAAAGAAAGGATAGACTTCTGGAGAATTACTTTGAGCTTCATCTACTCCAGCAGCTGCTGATTCAGGGACATCTTTCCTGCTGGTTTGAACAAGAAAATCAAATCCATGCATGAATTTGTGGCTAGTAGGATCATTAAGCTGAGTCTGAGAGCCCTCTGTGAGACTGTTGGAGTAACACCCAACTAACTTTCTGAAAGTGCTGACAACAGTGCCATGAGTGTCCAGTACAGACATTTGCACAGTGCAGAGATGTAAAGTCTGTAATTCACATCATCAGGAATTTACATATCTGAAGAATAAGGGAATAGCTAAATACTATTAGAAGGCAGCAGCATCTAAGCTTTGGACTTGAGCATCTTAATTCCTCTCTGAATTGCAAGCATGGTGTGGCTTTTGGTTCCTAGCTGTGTTCCAAACTCTGAATATTCAATAAAGTAGCAGGCCTGGAGGTTTCCATGCAGCCACTTGCTTATGGAAAAAACCACAAAATTGTCATCACTTATTTGAATGTTTTTCAAATTCTGGTTTGCCTCTTTGGGGTTTTTATTCTGTTTGTGTTTGTTTTCTGTTGTCCATTTCCCCCAAGGTCTCTGAAATATAAGATAGTGGCTCTAGATGAGTTATTTTATCAAAGTTAGAAAAAATATAAAACCAGGATTTTAACACTCTGTTACATAAATTAAAAAAGCGGTGTTAACAACTCTGATAATAGACTTCTTTATGGAATAAAACATTGTAGCAGTTAGAGCAACTGTCAGGGTTCTCCATTTTTGGTTAATCTCTATCTTTAGGATTAAAATGTAGTACTTTGACTCTTTTACCAAGAACAGGCATGAAAAAATTCTGCACTGAAAAAGGAACTTTTAGCAGTTACATGATAACACATTTTCAGACAACATGGGCTTTATGTTGTGACTTTTTAACTGGAAATGAACACAGCACCTTCTGTCGAAAACTTTAGAAAAAGAGATGGATAAATGATCCATATTTTTAAATATCTCTCTTTCTCCTACAGGTCTCCAAAACACTTGAGGAATTTGATGTCGAAGAGCAACAAAGTTCCCTATTAGAAAAACGATATCCCAATATTAGAGTTATACAGTCTGGAGTAAAACAGTTGAAAAGTGATGAACATGTAAGCTAAGGTTTTTTTTTTTATTTGGTTTTTCAAGTTACGTATATAAAAATAATTTAAGAAGTAGCTGTGAATGTTTTGTGTGAGAAATTTTGTTCCAAGAACATTTTGGTTATTGAATTGATAAGTTACCAAAATTACAAGAAAATACTTTCTAATTCCTATTTCACTTGCTGCTTAACACTGTTTGTCAAGTAGAAATATATACAGAGGACAAAATAAATCGTGAAAAAACCAACATTTCCACATTTTCTTCTTTCTGTTTAGCAGGAAATACATTGCAAATATGAGCAATGGACAGCATGTACACACCCTTGTTAGCTCTGTGTCAACATGTTATTTTTCACTTCAGCATGTATCAGAAACTCACATTCACAGCCAAAACTGGTTTGGCTCACTTTTAAGTTTTGGAGATGTAATTTCAGGTAGATTCTGCTAACATTCTGAATCCAATGGTTTTCTTGTATCATTACTTGGATAGTGTTTTAGTGTAGGTCTTGGGGGACACAAATAATTAATATATGTGGATTTGGAGGATCTTTTGCCCAAAATAATTTTAAACTATGTAGCTTCTAGTTCGTAGAACAACAAATAATGTCATAAAATGTTAAAATTTAAGGTCTTATTTCTCAGAATGACATAGCTTGTTTAGTGCCTCAGTTTTTTTCTTCAGCAAAGAACAGATTTGCAGTCTTTCTAAATTGTGTTATATCCTGTGCCTGGTTAACTCAGAGCTACTGCTATTGAAATGTTTTTAATGAGATTCTCAATTGCTAATGTATAATAGTGCATAGTTTGTTCCTGGGGCCTGAGGGACGTTTGTCACGTAGAAAACACAGAACTCCTTTGGCACAGCCAGTGAGTACAAAGTGCCACCAAGTGGTAAACTTGATCTTGCTTCGAGTGCACTGTGTACCCTTCCCATTTTACTGGTCACATATTTGTGGTGAGTGTGATGGGAATAAATGGCACACAGTCAGTGAGAGTGTGAAGGCTTGTTCCTTGAGAAGCCCCTTGCAGCTTTTAATATCTGCAAATTACTGTGACATTAAGGAAAGAGAAAGTTGATGTTCTCTTAGATGCCTTGATTTAGATAAATTCTCTTAGATTAATTGATTTTTCTTTTCTCTTTATTGTTAACAGAAAATTTACACTGAAGATGGGAAAGAATACATATATGAAAAACTTTGCCTGTGTGCTGGAGCCAAACCAAAATTAATTGTTGAAGGGAACCCATATGTATTAGGAATCCGGGATACTGACAGTGCTCAGGTAAATGTGCTTTGGACCTAAAAATGTGTATTATATTCCTGCATCTGGTGCAAAATAACAGGATTATTGTGGAGTGAAATGGAGAAACAGAAAATAATGTTTGTTATTGTTATTATATATTCTTAAATAGGAACATTTTCAGTGGCAGAAAAAGAGCCTTATCATGCCACTAAATTAATTAGCCATTATATTTGTTAAGTTTATAGATAGCTCATATGCATTATTTCTAACATGATAATGTGGAATAAACAATATTTTTTCACCCTCCAGTCAGAATCCAAGTGGAAAATATAAACAGGAAGTAGGCACCGGTAGAAATTTCCCTGGAAAGGTGTGTGTGGTACCTCGTACAAAGGGCTGCTTTGTACAGTGGAAAACTACTGAAGGAATTATTTTTTATTCTCTTTTAGTTCTACTGTAGCTTCTCCTCTTTGTACAGAAAAGAGTTAGATATAGTGAAAGATGTGGAAAAGTTTTCACCTGAGAAATGACTTAATGGACTAAAAATTAAGCTTGGAAGGCAAAGGTGAAGTTTTACTGCTGTAGGTCTTCAGAATTAGAGGATGCAGGGTGAGCACTGCTTCTCTATAACATGAAACTGCCATTCATCAAATGAAGCTGGACCTTGAGGATAAAAAAAGGTGTTATATTTTCAAATAATCTGAAGTGAAACTGTTTGTTAAAAGAACAGCTTCTGTTACAGGTCTCAGCCTAGCTATGTGTATATCAATAGTCTGAAAAAATCAAAACTAAGATACTGAAAAGGATGTAGTTGATCAGTGTGAGGGAACATGCTCTAAGTTCTGATTGACATTTTTCCTTTCTTAATGCAGGCTTTTCAGAAGAATTTGGCTCAAGCTGAGAGAATAGTGGTGGTAGGAAATGGTGGGATTGCCCTTGAATTAGTGTAAGTAAACAAAAAATACATAAATAAAATCTTTAACAATGCAATCTAAATCTAGTGTACATGAGTTTGGGAGAAGGTTGACTTATAAAATTGTGTCTCTTAGAGCATTTAGTAGCAAAACTGATTAGAGGGGGTTTTTTTTGCAACATAGTGGATCTTACTGATGCATAAAATTAGTAAAGCTCCAGAAGACGCTTTGACACATATATGTCAAGAATATAAAGTTAATGTTCCACACAGTGCAAACAAGATCCAAATGCTTGTTTTTAACAGTGGGAGTCTGGTAGAAATGCACTACTTTTTCATTATGGGGAGCAGGAAATACTAATTATTAGTATTACAGATTTGATCTGCCCCCCCACCCCCTACCCTAGTTCAGTTGAGGTTGTGTTGGTGAGAAAGTACAACTTGTCAACTTGAAGAAATATTTTTTTAATGGGTACCTTATGTAAATTTTTAGAAGTGGATTTGATAGGATTCTCTAGTTCTGGCTTCTGGAAGGAAATTTGACACACTTCTGCTTGTGTTGCTAACAGTCAGATCCTTTTCAGGCAGTCTGTCACTTTATCCCTTGTTTAAATGTCCACAGGTATGAAATTCAAGGCTGTGAAGTAATCTGGGCAATCAAAGACAAAGCCATTGGGAACACTTTCTTTGATGCAGGAGCAGCTGAATTTCTCCTTCCAAAGCTCGCTGCTGAAAGCCGAGAGACTCCAATTGAGTGTAAAAGAACCAAGTACACACTGGAAAGTATGGGGTTTAGTTTCCTGACACTGCAGCAGCAGCATTTCATTTTAAAGATAGTCTTAAAATCAGTCAATTGAGCAGCTTGGAATAAGGCTTACTGTTATCATTAATGACATTTCCTTCTTCAAAAACTGAGAGTAAAAAAGCAACTTAAAACCCATCCAAATTTATATAGACGGAATATAATGCAGTTTCTTGCAAACTGTAAAGAAAGTGCTTGCCTTTGTGCCAAATTCATATTAATTCCCTGTATTCCTTCTGCTGAAGAACTTGTTCTATTTTCTGTACTGTTTTGATGCGAACTGTCTCACCATTTTATAGGAAGGAGCTGTCACGTAGAAAGATATTAGAGGAGCAGATGAAACTGCACAGAACATTATTACAGGTGGAGTGAAACTGTCTCAGAAACAACAATTAACTAGGACTGCATGAGCAAACATCACACAAACATATGTATGATCAAAATCATAACAAAAAGAAGAGCATGATTCTAGATATGAGGCAGGAAGAATAAGGCTATTACACTTTCCTCTTATTCTTTGGAAGCCACATGGTGTTTTTCTATTAATTGAGAATCCTTGTTCTGAATTCTGAGGACAAGGCAGTATGCATACTAAATCTGATATACTCCATCTCTTTCTTTCAGGAAATGAGGAAAAAGGAAGACATACAGGAGCATCTGACAAGCTGGGCAGTGCCTTAGGCCCCGACTGGCACGAGGGCTTACACCTTAAAGGTACTAAGGAGGTATGGGTATAACCTTGCTGTCATATTTATTTGAGTGTTGTGGGCATGAGCACTGTGAAAAGTTCCATGTTTGCAAAAAAATATCCTCACATTTAATTTTTTTCTTATGAATTCCATAGCTGTTAGGTGTTTGCATCTGTTTTGCATTTTGAAAATGACCTGTCAAGGGTGGTCAGTCATAGACCAGCTAAAGGATGTTTAGGATATTTAGCATCTTAATCAGTGGTGGTTTGGCTGTTGAAGGCTGTGGAACTGTATTTGTGTAGTAGAGAATAAAACAAGGCCCAAATTCATAAAACAGTTTAGAGAAATAGGTAACTTTCCAACTTCTGGCTTGAGCTCAGATTATGGTTGAAATGTGGGTTGATGTACAGAATATTTTTCCTTACAGTGTTTAGCACATAAGCTTATTATTGTTACCAAAATTTAATTAATGATAGAAAAACAAAGAATTTGCAATCCTGAAAGACAGAAAAGATGAGTTTACTTTATTCTGTTCTGATAAGGTTTGAGCTCTCTTCCTGTAAGCTTAGGGTAACCTGAATATGTTTTCTGGCACGCCAGAAAAATCTAATTGTTATGAACTTTCAAGGAATATCAGATACTTGCTGCAAAAGCAGGTAAATTGCCATTGGCTATGGTTAGATCTGTACGAAAAAGAGGAAAGTGTGGGAATCCAGTTAGTGGGCTGGGATATATGGTGGGGTTTTTCCAGTTTAGTAATATCAATTAGGTGAATCAGGTGTATATATCCTTGCTATTATCAATATTGTGATCACTAATCGTTATGTTTATAATTTCAATTTTTCTTTAGTTTTCTCATAAAGTACATATTGAAATACTGTGTGAAGTAAAGAAAATACACTTACAGCAAGAATTTATCCAACTGCAGCGGACTTCCTTGACTTTTCCTAAAGGAGAGAAAAATGTAGAAGCAGATGAGGGTGAGTGCCAGTGCTGATAAGACATTGAAGATAAATCTGGACTAGATCATGTTTGATCTTGTTTGCTGTTTTAAAGCAAATACAGATTTGAAAAAGAAATCTTTTATCTCTATAAATTGAGGTCTAGCAGTTCACAGTAATCAAATTTATGGGCTACAATTAAATTACAAAATCTTATGGGTCAGACCCTCTTTTCCACAAAGTCACCAAAATCCTGTATGCAGAATATTCCATCCTTAAAACAATCCATTAAAGTAATATTTTAATAGTGAAGTTAAAACAGGAGAAAAAAAACCCACCAACATTTTGCATCAAAACTGAAGTAAATGTTCAAAGTAGAGGAAAATATCCTCTTTCTTTATGAATAATTAAGCCTATAATTTCCACCTAATTAAAATGAATATTTTAAATACTATTTTAGTAATCAGTTACTTCCAGCGTAAGTCCAATCTGTGCCGTTCTTTTTGCTTTTAAGGTACTTCTGTGCCTCTGTAAATTTCTACATAAAAGAATATTTGGCAGTTGCATACTTGAGAGAACATCCCACAGATACAGTATTTACCCTCTTACAAATGAGGGCTTTAATTTAGGAAAATTCTGGAGAAAGTTATTAGTAGGAGTTGGAGCTGAGATCCAAAATAATTTTTTTCTCTAGTTCTGAGCAATGGTAAGAAAAGTTAGAGGTAATCTCTGGTAATTTTTTCCTTTTTATCTTTAATTTTAATCTTTCTTTACCTATTTAGTTACCTCAAAGGTTTTTTCTTTCATATCTTATCATATAATGTAATTAATTAAATAACTTCTGTTGGTTACATTCTTGGGGCAAAATTTTCCCCTTTTTCAGTGCTGTGGCCTGTATATGTGGAATTAACTAATGGAAAAATTTATGGATGCAATTTCATTGTCAGTGCAACTGGAGTCGTGCCAAATGTTGAACCATTTCTTGATGGCAATAATGTAAGTATACTAATTTCTTCTGGAGCTTTTCAAGTAAGGTGAAAGAAACTTTTGCAGCTGATTTATGCTTCTGTTCTGACATGAAACATGGATTGCTAAAGATTTAAATATTGTGCACCATCTCAGAATAAGGCAGGTTATGTTGATACTGAGATACTCAACATGATACAAGTGTATGTGATTTGTGGTCTTGGTTTATTATGTTGTTCCCCAGGTGTATATATACAGTATATATGCAGTATTAAGCCTATGCAAAGAGAGAAAAACATCTGAATAATTGGCTAATGTGGCAAAAATGTAGAATAATTTCCATGTTGGTTCTGTACCATATTCTTACCTTATTAATCTTGATATTTGCTCCTGGAGAGGAAGCAACTATTTCCAGTACTTTTCATCTGGGACACTGGGCTGTCAAGGTGCTTGTGTTCATTGAGGGAAGTCACCCTGAGTCAGCACCCAAATTTGGATGGTGATTCCAGAGTTCATAACTGCCATGTTAATTTTGAGATAATTTTGTTTCTGTGTTCAGTGTCTGCCCAGCAACAACTAAAACATCCCTGGGTTATTAACACTGTCTTCATCAGAAGTCCAACAAATAGCCCCATACAAGCGACTTCTAAAAAATGATCCCAGACGAAAGCATGACGTTGGGGTATTTTGGGTTAAGTGGTGCTATCTGATTAGGAAGTAAAAGGCTATGCTCTGGTTAAAGAAGAAAATGCTGAAAACATTGATCTGATGTTGAGCCATGAGATATTATCCCAGGCCTATGCTACAAGCTTAGATCAGGAACAAAGTTTTTGCAATGGTATTTTCTTGCCTTGGCAAAGATACGAAGTCATCTCTTAAGACTGGGTGTCCCTGTAACACACAGTGTGATTTGGAATTTGACTTCCCTGCCTAGGTATAAGTAATAGTTCTTTAAAAACCTGTGCTGTGCTTTAGAAATAATTGTAACAGTAATGCTTTGTACCTTCCCTGGAAGTCTTGCCACTCAAGATAGTCTCATGGTAAATAGTAAAGTAACAGCTGGTTGCTTAAGGTGGAGGAAGTTGAATGACTTGATGACTTGTTTAATTGCTGATGTGTGCAAACCCTTCAGTTTGCTGTGGGTGAAGATGGAGGACTGAAGGTGGACAAGCACATGCACACGTCACTGCCAGATGTGTATGCAGCTGGAGATATCTGCACTGCAGCGTGGGAGCCAAGCCCCGTGTGGCACCAGGTACATCCTCCCATGTGTGTGATCCACAGGGAATTACACACCAGTGCACACGCCAGGGAGTGAAAGGTTAAGCAAGTGGATAATCCTGGGTGGTTGATGTGACTAAGTTTTATGGAGGTGGCTGGAAACTGAGCTGGCCAGCCCTTCTGAGTATTAAAAACACAAAGTATGCACTGAGTACTCACTGCAGTGAGTGTGGTCATGGCACAGTGACGGTCTTGTGACTTAACTCTTCCCAACTTTCTCTTTCAGATGAGGCTGTGGACCCAAGCTCGGCAGATGGGATGGTATGCAGCAAAGTGCATGGAAGCAGATGCTTTAGGAGAATCTATTGATATGGATTTCAGCTTTGAACTATTTGCTCACATTACAAAATTTTTCAATTACAAGGTCAGTAGTCTGATAGTTGTAAACCATTGAGTAACACATACTGCTTGCTTATATTCACTTGTTGGCACTGGGCAGATGCTTTAATATTGAGAAAACAGGTTTCTTAATATAGTAGTTAACTCCAGCTTATATTTTCTCCATTCATAATAATGTCTATGATATTTCAAGGGGAAGATTTTTGAGTCCATTGTGTGTTTGCAAGCCAGTGGTGGGGGGAGAGACCCTAGGGACAAATATTTCCGTGTTTGCATCACTTTTGAGGCTGAGAACAGTTAGCAGCAGAAATGCTAAAAGCCACTGCAATGTTCTTAAGAGAGCTATTTCCTTTTCCTTCTGCTAGGTGGTGGTTTTGGGAAAGTACAACGCTCAGGGCTTGGGCTCAGACCATGAGCTGATGCTGAGATGTACCAAGGGACACGAGTATGTGAAAGTGGTGATGCAGAATGGCCGAATGATGGGAGCTGTGCTGATTGGTGAAACGGACTTGGAAGAAACCTTTGAAAATTTAATTTTAAATCAAATTGATCTTTCAGCCTATGGTGAAGATCTTCTAAATCCAGATATTGATCTAGAAGATTATTTTGATTGAACAATACCCCATTCCCATTTTGTATGAAGCTTTGATACCAAGTAATGCATCTTAGAAAACTGTTTTCTCAGGATTACCAGAAATGAGGGATAAGTGCAATCCTCTATTAAAATTTTGGGTTGATCTTGCCAAAATACTGACTGGGTACTGCCAGAGATACTAGCTAATGGTGCATTCTCTGTTGAGCTGGCTCAGATGAACAGAGAACAGTTTTAGGGCACAGGGTGCTCAGAGCTCTTGCTACCTGGAATGTGGGTTGCAAATATATGGCCTTACTCCGTTATTTTTTTACCCCCTTTCTCCGCCTCCCCCCCGCCCCCAGTTTCCTTCTGAAGCAAATGTATTTTCTTTCTACACAGTTAAATACAGAACATAAGGTTTGCACAATGAAAGCCAGGATGAGATAGCAGTTGAGAGAAGCTTTTTAACTGCTTGTCCCTTCAGCTGAACAGATGTTGGGGTAGAGCTGCACTGTACTGCTCAGTGCCAGCCATGGACAGCAATTGTTTCATCCTGACTTTTGATTCTGGGAGTTTCTATTTATTTATTTAGGGTCGAATTGGGAACAATTTATCATACTCCACTTAATGGAAAGTTGGCAGTACATATTGAGACTTATCCCAGACAATTTTTTTTTTTGAGAATGACTTTTTAATTAAATTAATTCATGGATGGGTGAAAGACTGTAGGCTTTAGTCACTGTCATAATTTTTATTTATCAAAAAAATAAAGATGAGCATGTTCTTAATGATATTAGTTTTGTATTTGTTCTACATGTAAGTGTAAGGGAGAAGAACCAAAATGCAACCACCCAGAACTTGCGTTTATTAGTGAAACTAAACTTGCCTTTTTGATCTTTGGCTGCTAAAATGTTAAAAGTAAGAAAATAAAACTGAATCTAGCACTCAGCATATGTGCCTGAGAATGCCTGCAGGCAGCAGTAGCTGTTGAGTCTTTCCTAGGCTGGCAAGTTGTCTTGTTTGTAAACTTAAATTTAGGTACTTCTACAAAGCACAGGAGTCATAAATTTCTATTTGATTAACAACTGAGAAAAGTAAAATTTTAAGAGCAACAGACATATTTCAGGGATAAATACACGTAATATTTCACTCATACATATAAATACATATAGTATTTCACTCAAACATGCCACAGAGGGTGTAGGGATACATGTCCCTATTCAGAACTGCAGAGATGGCAATGCCCATGCTGGAACAACCAGCCTTGCCAAAGCAGCAGCTTTGACCCAGCTAGAACTCTAGAGAAAGGATGCTGGAGCATCCCAGTCTCCACCTGTGTGATGTCACTCCCTGGAGCTGGTGGCAGCAGCTGCTCTGGGGAAGCTGTGCCCTGGCTGCAGTGAAGTCACTGGTGAAGAGAAGAGTCACCTGCACAGCAGGCAGAAGGAACAGGAGGTGACAGGGTCTTCATGCAGAGCTAAGGACCACCAAGTCCTGTGCTGCAAAGGAGGGAAACCTCAAGAGGACTCTCATGGGAGCAGTGGGTGGAGACTCCCACTGGAAGAAGTCTGGAAATCTCTGGATCTCTGGCAGTCCTTTCCAGACTGCACGAACCTGTCACAGTGTTACTATATACTACACTTCCAAAAGAGTTAAGAAGGCAACATGGTCATTATATAGGTTTTGTAATCGCTGCTGTATCCTAAGATATGCACCAAATATTTTGATACAAAACACTTTCTCCTTCACTACTAGCCTTCTAGAGTTGACAGTTTTAAAAGATATTTGTTCCCTGTTCAGTGTTTATTAAATAAAAATACCATTACTAAAGCACAAACTGAACTTACACACTGCATTGTCCATGCAGCAGCAACCATGATTAGATCCTAAATGTAGTCTGTGACACTCAGTCAATAACTAGTGGTTGGTCACTTCCACCTGCCTGAAGCTTAGGCTTCTTTGCTTTTAAATTAGGACTAGAGCTGGGCCGTTTATGTTCCTGTGATTTTTTCATCACTGAATTTTGGACAGTCTTTGATCCAGTCTGGGCATTTTCTCTGCTTCCTTTTGAATTTGAAGATTGTGTTGGTTTGACCTGTAAGATACAAAGAGTTCAATTAAAATTCTAACATTGTTTTCCTTCTTCTTCCATGTTCTCACACAAGAGAAGATATTTATGAGGTTGATTGCATTACTACAAAACATGTTTTGAGCAGAATCTAAATAATTACATTAAGCTCTAATGGAGAAGATATCTATATGGCAAATCAGAACAGATCTAAATACCTTGAAAACACTTCTCTTGTTTGTTATCCCTTCTATGGTGACGACGTGTCCCTCGTTTTTCAGCAGCCGGGCTTTCGGTCCCACCTTCAGGTAGGATATTGTAGCAAAGGCTGTGAAGCTGAAATCCTCCCTACACGAATTAAATGACTGTTACTAGGGAACACTGGAGCAGAGGCCAGACTATGCAGGGGGAAAAAATCATAGAACTATTAAGGTTAGAAAAGACTTCCAAGATCATCAAATCCAACCATGAACCCAGCACCACCACTAAACCATGTCCTTAAGTGCCATATCCACGTTTTGTGAACACTCCAGGGATGGTGACTCCACCACTTCCCTGGGGAGCCTGCTTCAATCTCGACAACTCTTTCCATAAGGACAGGTACATATTAACCCTTCTGATAGATGTTCCAAAGAGCAGCTTCATTCTTCTTTATCTATTCAAGTAGCCAGTCAGGTGATTTAGAGCTACTCTGCTCAACACTTAATATGTTTGTGGACCTTTACACACACTTGTCAATCTCTTGAAACACGTGAAAGAAAATGAGGCAGAAAGATGTAATAAATCATCTCCTCACCCTCTTAATAATATTAAAAAAGCTGTGCTGAGAGGTGCAAAGAAAAATTAAGAAAAATAAAGGGATTAGATAGTTGTAGATGTTCTTGAACTTAGAAAATTATGAGAAGACAAAACACACAGCACATAGACAGCTTACAGAGGCAGCACTGTTGTTAGTTTCACTATGCTTTCTTAAAATTTCTGAATACCACTTTCTACATTAGCCAGTCTTTCCTGACTTAGACATCGTGCAGGCAACCCCATTTGCTTTCCTTGTCCATGGAATCGAATGAGATCTGTATGAACTGCAGATTTCTCCAAAATTAATCCTGCTGCAGATTTAAACATTCTACCAAATTACAGAAGAATCCCCACTTTTTAAAATTGCACAAGATGCAGCATTTCAACTGTTCCTCCAACTTTTGAAATGGAAATATAGCAATATTTGAAGGGTTTTCAATAATACATTAAATGCATCTGAAATAAAATCAAGACTAAAGAATACAGCTATTGATGTTATACAGAAGTAACAAGAGAGCAAAGAAATATTACTACTAAATGTTAAAAAACCAAAACCAAGAAAAAATAGTTATCTTACGTACTTCAGATACTGCTGCAGCAGTAAATGGGCAATAATTCTCTCCAGCTCCTCTCGAGGGTGCTTGGGTGGAGTAACTTCAGGCACCCTGAGTTTGGACACACCTTTCCCAGACCAGGCATCGATTAATTTCAATGGGGTGAGTTTCTCACTCATGCTGTCAGCTTGCTCAAGGATCTTTATCAGATCCCTGCAGTATCCTGTTACATCCATCTTCTCACATGCTGCAAGTAAAAGTGAAGGAACATTTAAATAGAAAGCTCTTTGTAGTTATATGTAGCTATAAATACATATCTTTGTGCTGTATAATAGCAAGGCTTTTTTTTTTGTTTTGCTTTTAAATTAACTTTAAAAAAAAAGCAGTAACTATTCTTCTGTCAAATCAGGATATATTTATACTTAAATATTTTTCTGCCTCATTACTACAACTCCTACCTGACAAACATTTATACTTGTATTTGATGTTACAAACCAGAAATTATTTCAAAGCATGAAATTTGCAAGGTAGCTAGTATATTACTCTAGAACTGGATTCCTTTTCATCACCCATAGTGTTTATTATGAAAAGGTTAGAGAGCACAGAGGAGGTGAAGCCTGTAAGACATTTCTTCTCTCAAGACAGTTATGGATGAAATGATACAGACATAAAAAGCAGTAATTACATTTTAATAATTAGCTTCATCATCCATAACAATTCTGAGCACGAACACATCAATGCAGTACATAATGATCATCCTTCTTCTCCATGATCAGGTCATGGCACAGAATTACCCCAACTGACTAAGGATTAAGTATTGAAAAACAAGTACTACTGCTAAGTTTCCCTAGAGCTTGCTTAAGTATCAAAAGGCCCTGGAGGCGAAGAAGCAGTAAACAGGATATATTTCAACTTTTATTTCATCACATGGCTCCTGCAAGCCTTGGGGACAAGCCAGCTCCCTACTCTTCCCAACCTCTGATCCCAGTGTACATTTCAGCTAAGCCCCGTTTCTAATTAGGAGATAACAAGACGTTATTACTTGCAAGACTTTGCAAAAGACTTTTATTATAAGATAAAACTGTATAATGAAAAAAAGTTGAATTTTGGTTTGTCTACTTTACACCCCAACAGGTGTAATAAGGGCAATAAAGTCTAGTTATGAGAATAGCTTTGAATACAGAACTGTTCCTCATTTTTTTCAAGTGTTGATCACTGTATTATCCAAATACTTTTTGTAACAGATATGTGATATGAGGAGATGGTATTTTCCACATATTACAAGAATTCACCTAGGTGGTCCTCAATGAGATTTAAGGTAATTTTGTGCATCCTTTAGAGATGCCCAAGACCAACTTTCTCTCAGCTCTCCTTTCAGAGTGTTCTTGCTTCCTGTGGGGTTTCCCACGTTTAAGTCACAGAACTCACTTTTTAAGTGCAACAACAGATGCTTTGTTCATCTTCTGAGTCTTTCAGCTTTCCGATGGGGGGAAAAAAAAAATCACAGCAAAACCTTGAATTAAGAGTGCTCAGTTGTTCTGCACACCTGTCACATGCAGTTCTGACACAGGAACATCTCATGAGGGTGCAGCACTGAAATCCTCAGGGATTTTTCCAGACAAGTTATGAGAGGACATGCAAACTGTACCTTCTCAGAGCCTAAGTGTGAACAGTCTGGCTTGCAGGGGCTCCTCCTCAATAAAGCTTTCACACACAAGCAAACCCTGGAACAAAACCTGACACATACCAGAATCCTTATAAAACAGGTAAGCCAATCTCCCCCTTGCCCCAGCTTCCCTTTTGGGAACAGCTGAGCCTGAAAAATACCAGTGTCCAACCTCAGGCAAAAAGCCAAACCAGGAAGTATTCTCCTAAATATCCTGAAATTGGCAACAGTAGACCACCAAAAACTGATAATCCTAACAAAATCTGCACCTTGAAAATAGTCAGTAACACAGCACAGGTCACAAAATTTGCTTACAGTTTTTCTATACCTGGTATTTCTTTAAATCAACTTTTCCCATGTTCTCTGTCCTTTACCTACCATTCTCTCTACAGCAGTTATCACACATTCTATTGCAGTTTGCAGAATCCCACACTTCATCGAAGTGGTGAGCTATGAGTACTCGGCGACACCTGAAGAGCAGAGAGCAGAGGGGGGCTACAGAACCCACGTGAACATATAACACCTGTGTTATACATCATTAAAATGGTGAAAAAGGTCCCTAGGGACAGCTCAGATCTCAAAACAAGCACAAAGAATTATCACAGGAAAAACCAGAGAACAAATACTGCAACACCAGTATTCCCTATCACCTATGCCAATACAGATAATGATTAAACTCTGGTGGAGAAACAGTTTGGTTTAAGAAGAAGAGCATAATCTGCAGTTTCAAGAGAAAAATGGAACAACATGAACTCATTGTTACACTGAGGCCAAAAAAAGGCTTTACTGGATGCACCAGTTGTCCACGACAGAGATACACATTTTTCATTAAGTATTCTAAATATCTCAGTGAAACAGGTGAAGCAGTAAACACATGTGGATTCCTATGTGGTTATTAAACACTGTATCTTGGAGTCAAAACCACAGAACTCCAGTATTTCCTCTGACTGGGATTTGAAATCCAAACAGCGTTTGTTCACAGGTATTTCACCTCAACATAACTGTTTCCAGAACTGTGTCCTGAAGTTGGCAAGCTTTTTCCTGTTTTTGTGGGTGGTTTTGTTTGGTGATGAGTTCATTTTGGTTTTGTTTCAGGCTTTTTATTTTTTTCCTTTTAAATGCCCTCTAAAAACTCCAACTAAATTAGCCCATTTAAAAACTAGGCAACCAAGCCACTACAGTAACTTACTTGCTCATATTTTGGCAATAAGATACCATATCATACAGCTTCTCTTGGCCAACATTTTCCATCACCACCATTGAGCTGATCCTGAATATATCTCCAAACCCATAATACAGAATGCAGTCAGCTTTTTGGTCATCTCTACCTGCAATGCATTAAAATGAACAGAAAATTACAATCTCAACCAATTGCCCCTCAAGTTCCTTGAGGAGCTTTTCTCCAAATAGACTCAAATCTGCCTTTAAAAAAGTAACAAGATGAACAAGATCAAAAAAACTCAGAACACTGCAAAATGGTTTTGGGGGTGGATTTTGACCATAACAGGTATTTAGTGCTGCTAAACATTGAACAATTCTTAAAATTCCTTGCTCCAGATTCCCCATCCTACTTGTATTTCTGAAATTCATACAGTGATTAAACATCAATCTGAGACAATCTGAGCAAATCACACATCCCAGGCGCTATACAAAATAAAAACATTAAAAGTTGTGTATCAAATTCATGTCATGTTATTCTGCTAAGCCACAGATTTGACAGAAAATCAAGTATTAAAAAATAAGGTTAGTGGAGCTCTAGATACCCAGTTACTCTTTGTTATACTGCAGTAGAGACCTGGTCATGCCTTTTCAGAGGCAGTTTCATTATACCCTTTGGAAACTGTCTCAAAGGCAAGAGACTCTGCACAAATGCCTGGAAAATTGAAGGACAGTTTTACTGGTTTAATGGATGTAAATGGCAACTTTGCAAAAGCCACTTCCTACAATACCTGCACGTCCACTCTCTTGGTAGTAGTTTTCCATGGACTTGCTCATAGAATGATGAATTACAAACCTCACATCAGGTTTATCAATTCCCATGCCAAAAGCAACAGTTGCCACTACAACCTGGGAAAAAGAAAAATATTAAGAAATCATCAAGATACCAAGCCACAATTTGTTTAAATAAGACATAAGTCCATGTAAAGTATTTACTTAACCTGGATTTGATTTGTTGCCCATCCTTTATGAACTTTGGTTTTATATTTAGCATCCATGTTTGCATGGTAAGTCCCTGCTTTGATTCCCAGTTTCTGCAAACTCACAGTAACTTGCTCAGAATCCTTCTGAGAAAAGCAGTAAACAATTCCTGCACAAAAGTAGAAGAGGCCTCATTATAATGCCTTAAAAAGGCCAAACAATCCCCAATACTTAAAAACAATTGTGAAAGTTTTATTAGCTTATAAAATAAATAATTAAAAAGCATTATACAGTCCTTGTGCCTATTTAGTCCATAGCATTGGTATTTGTCTTGGGTGTGAACAAAAGTATGTATTCTATTACCATCTGTTGAAACCAGGTGGGGCAGTGATCTTTATCTTTTCCACAACCCATCCTTCCTGCAGGGAGATATCTTCAGTTAATGGGCCATTGAGTCCCACTGCATGACTGATAAAATTACATCATCCCATTGGGAGATGCTCCACCCAGGGGGAGGAGCCAAGCATTCCTACCTGGATATAACCTGGGGTTTGGGACAGAACAAGTATGCCTTACCCACTGGTTTCCAGAGGACAAGAGCTACCAGACTTTTCTATGGAATCACTGCTTCAACAAGACCACTTCATCTGGACTGCTACCACCACCCTAACTAGCGAGGTGTCAGGTTGTATTCTGACTCTGTCAGTGTTTGGTTTTTTCTTTTGTACTATCGCATGTATTTTATTTTTCTCTTTTTTCCTATTAAATTGTATTTCTGACTTGGAGTCTCTCACTGGTTTTGCTTTCAAACCAGTAGAGTATTCATGAAGGAAACTTCAATTACCAGCCTGGACCTGAAGGCTAAAGAGGAAATACAGGTGCCAATGCATCGAATCATGGAAGCATTCTATTAATGTTCAGGTGCTTATTAAAGCATCTTTAAAGGGGTGCTATGCATTATGACAGCTGTGGCATCTCACCTGAGGTTTCAGTTAAATCTGCTTTTTGTCATTAGTCAGGCTGGGCTAAGTCAGGGATTACACACAAAGCCACATGATCTGTGATCATTGGCGCAGTTTGTGCTCAGAGAGCTGCTCCTCACAGCCACAGAGATCCAAGCAGAAACAGGGACAGACTGCTGCTCTGGAAACCTGGGTTCTGCTGCTTTGGCAAGATGTCTCTCCTCTTTATTTCCACTACAGAATTTATTCACTACACAAGTCCAACTTTTACAGTTCTGCTTTTATCTGCAATTCACCCCATAACACCCATTCTGGGCCCTGAGTAACAGATGACTCGTATGATCAAATATGAAAAAATATGTTAAAGATAACAAGAATCCTGATGCACAGATAGTAAATAATGTGTGATTTAAGAACACAGAGGTCACTTTTTCTGAGCCATGCTCTTACAATCTTAAAACTTCCTATTATTACCTATGTAAATATTGTTCTATGGACATCAACATCCCAGTTCAATACTTCTGAAGATATAAGTAAACAGCAAAGACATTTGAACACTAATGAATGAAGAGAAATTATTAAAGGTATGGATCTTACAAAATTTCATTTAATCGAATTCTGGATGTTTAAAGTATGGTGAAGGCAGAATTTCTCTACATGCTTCAAGATCATTTGAAAACATCCCAACATCCTTGCAATGCTGAAGATAACAGCATGCAATGAAATGCATAACAATGAAAGATAACATGTCTTTTTTCAGTTTTTACCTGACAGTCCTTTGTATCTTCCATTAATGGTCTTAACTATGTCCTCAATGAAATCTTCGTTATTTGAAGGCTTATGCCGAACCTCAAAAATATATTATGCACAGGTCAGAGTTCAAGTGGGCAAACAGTCTGCCAAACAACCTTATTTTAGTTTTTCCAGGATAATAAACACAAACTATTCAGCCATTTAAAAAAATTACTATATTCTTCTTATGAACAGTCAGATTACAACTCAAAAGTCCATTGAAAAATAAACCCCAAAACAAACCTGCAAGCTTTCCCTACCAAGAGCAATAAACAAACCTGTGGTCAAAGTGAAAATACAGTACAGCAGAATAATTCACAACCTTTGTGCCATCATTAGACATTATTTTCCAACAGGTTGAAGCAGTCTGAGCCTGCTGCCTGCCTCTCTCCTTGCAAGAGACAGCACAACAGCACTGCATTCAGAAAAACAGGTAATATGACCTACCTCATAGTAAAGGTTGGGTCGGTTGAAGGAAGCAGTAAAGGTAATGCACTTCTGAATATTCAAAATGTTCTGAGCATCCTTTAAAACATGACTGGTAGCTGTTGCTGTCAATCCAATCAAGGGAGTATTGGGAAACTGTCTTTTCAGGATACCAAGAGACTTGTAGTCTTAAGCAAGAAAATAAAAAGTGGGGAAAAAAGATTTCTCATACCACAAATGCAAACTTAAAAAAGACATTAATGTAGATAGTATTTAATGGGGCAATACTGCAATAAACATTATTACTGCTAATCTACCACAGAACTAACTAATTTATACATCCAAAGGAAGTAACAAGCAGGTTGCATTTATCAAAAGAGATGTCTTCTACCTGAATTTTAAAGAATCAATCACAGAATCATTTGGGCTGGAAGACACCTTAAAGACCATCTTGTTCCAGCCCCCTGCCATGAGCAGGGACACTTTCCACTATCCCAGGTTGCTCAGAGCCCCATCCAACCAGCAATAAGGCATCCATAAATTCCTTAGGCAGCCTGTGCCAGTGCCTCACCACCCTCACAGTTCTTCCTAATACCCATTCTAAATCTACTCTCAGTTTGAAGCCATTCCCCTTTGGCCTGTCACTCCAGGCTCTTGTAAACAAGTCCCTCCCCCATTTTCTTTTAGGCTCCCTCCAGGTACTGAAAGGCTGCAATTATCAGCCACAATTCAGAAGGCAAAAATGTATGGAAGTAGAAATTCTTAAAAAGTTAGACAAGTATGTGTGGCATTGTATTAACCAACATTCAGGTTATTTTGCAGGTCTATTTTTACAAACAGCTTTTGAGTAAACAGAGCTTTTCTAATAAACAAGCAATGTAGAATTTGGATACATAGACCAGACTTAATACTGAAAATTTTTAAAGGCTCAGTACTGACAAACACCTGCTGCCTTTGAACAGAAATGCAGCCAGAGGTACACATCCAAATTCCACACTGCCTGTTGAACTAGCCCGTCTCTTGGCTCAGGCACTACTTTTTAGCAAAACAGCTAAGAGTGACCTTACAGTCAATATATCTCATGAATTTACAAAATGCTCTACCTCTTTCATCAAGAAGTGCTAGGAAGTGGTTTACCGAATGACACGTTCATGTAGCAGTAGATTAAAGATGCAAACCAAAACCTTTGATTTTATGAAACTCCAATTAAAGTAAGCTGAATAAGGCGTTTTTCAGAATACTGACAGCAAAAACTATGTTGAAATCATCATTTGCATGAACTTAGGACATTTGCTCCTGGACAATTTATGAATTAAAGTCCTTGTGTCACATTAAGAATTCAGTTAACACAGGAAGGAAGCAGCTGGCCTTATTTGAGGCCCAACTCACTATTCACTGATGCCTGAAGAGCCCTGCAAAGGGGACTTCAGAGGAGCATACCAGGCCTGAAGTCGTGGCCCCACTGACTGCAGCAATGCACCTCATCCACAGCAATCCGAGCCAGGCACCCAGCCTGGTAAGCCTTCTCCAACTTGGAAATGAACATTTTGCTCTTTGCAATCTTCTCAGGGGTCACATAAATGAGCTTCAGCTGTGAATTCCTCTTCAGCATTTCCATGTGGACCCACTTCACATGTTCCTGTGCGAAACAAAACAAGACAGAAGGGAGTAACAAACTGGGACAACACACTGAAGCTGCTTAGTGCTAAGGTTCTTAAGAGGTGATTAGCAATACATAAGGTTTAATTAACAGAGACTGAAAAAGTGGTCCACGGTATTGATCATTATACGCCTTTGTAGAAGATCACTATATATAAAATGGTCATTTTAATACTTAGAAAATCCATGATGGAACCTTTGAAGAAGCAAAGTGCTGAATATGTGTCTTTGCTTATCATGTGGTATCAATAAACTATCATGTATCAAACATGTCTGTGATACTGCAAGTGTAAGATAATTCCTTGCACACTATAGGGTTTTTATTACTGAGTTTTCAGAATGTTCCGCATCAAAGCAGGCTTCAAGTTTGGCACTTGCATCAAGCCACTGACTTAGCAAACCCAGTGTCATTTGCAAGTTTATGATCACAGCCTCCTGCTAGTTAGGAAAATAACTGTAAAAACAGAAATTGTTCAGTAAGAGACTAGGAAATAAGTTGCTTCTTGGCCTCTGGATCAAACAGCTCACAACCATATAGCAAGAAATAAATAATTGTATTGCAAAAGCCTGCACTGCTCAACATGGTAGTAGTAGACAAAAATCATCTACTCCAAGTCTAGAAACTGAGTAAAAATCTACAACACACATCAGCCAAAGGTACTTCATATCCTCTAAACAGCCCCAAGAAATCTATTTATGCCACAGACGGTGTTGCTTACTATGTGGTGTAGTCACTAAAACATGAACACAAGATACTTAACCACCTTACCCATAGCACAGCACCCTCCTGGACAGATACTGTTGCTAGAATAGCATTAGCTGATAAATCTGTCTCATCCATTCAACATTCACAAGTAACTACACAGAGGGGAGACACAAGCACATATACCACAAAACACATGAACTTAAACACACCTTGCTGCTTGAGGCATTTAATAAAGCTGCAGAGATACCAAGCTGTTCCAAAACCATGATCTGATCTTCCATGAGAGATATCAAAGGACATATCACCAGTGTGAAACCTGTAACAATCAATCATTGTGCAAACTGAGCAGTTCAGATGTCACAAATACTTCCTCTAATTCTTTTTACTGATGCATCAGCCCTGCTCTGAAGAAACTGCCAAATGTAAGCTTAAGCTTCATACACAGCAGTGCATTCCCCTCCTAGATAGCTGACAATTGAGATCACATAGGGGTAATTCTTATTTAATGCCCATGACATGCATCTCCTCTTAGGGTCTAGACCACAAACAACTGAGCTACAACAAAGCATTAAAACATACAAACAAGTAGGATCATGTTTCTTATGCTGTCATGAGGTGTTGATTTACCATAAAACTAAGCAATGACAGGTAGTGGTAAATTTGGCCTTTGTAAATAAGTAAACTTCCAATGCAATTGGATGAGTCAGTAAAAAACCACCCCAGCCAAATGAAACCAAATCAACCAAACAAAAAACACACACCAAATAATGTTCATTCTCCACATAACTATAAAACGGAGAAAATGAATCTAATTTTTTATATTACGTCCTTTTTTCCCCCCTTACATACCATCAGAACAGACAGCTGGTAACTGGTAACAAAGGCTCTTCCCACCACCTGTAGGCATGACAAGAAATATATCCTTTCCTGCCATTGTAGCATTTACTGTCTCAAGTTGCAGTGATCTAAACTTCTGGAGTTTAAATGTGCTCTGCAGTGCAGTTTTTAGCTTCTCATACCATGGAAAATCTGTTAAGGGAAAAAAGCAACTCAACAAACACATTTCATAAGCAAATTAAAATATAAGAAGGAGGGGTAATTTACATATTCAATAACTAAATCTGGCAGTGATACAGTTTTAGATCTGGGAAAGTGTTTATAGATATAAAGGCACAGGAAAAGCTCCACACAGCCTGAGCCTGGATACATCATTTTCTAAGGTGGACCTTTGAAATCTCAAATTGTAAACACAATTCATGTCCACACCAAAACTCTCATTGCACGTGGATGTGAACTAATGTGAAAAACTCCAAACAGATGAACTTTGGAGTGCTAATGATCATGTTAACTCATCAGTCCAAAATAACTTAGAATTCCACCCTGAAAAGAAATAAAACCTCACACTGAGCCCTACAATAGTTACTCAAATGCTTCCCTCATACAAATGCAGCAATTATAAATAGCATAAAGAAGTAGGGACAAAATTTTTCCATATATTCCATCAATAACAAGCATTTATTAGGAAAAGAAAAGAAGGGGAAATGTTGTTTAATATTCCCCAAAATCACTACATAAACATGCTTGTAAAAGAGCTAAAGACTGCATTTTTAAAAGACATAATACTATAAAAACTTAAACTGTGGGAGCTCCATATTACAGCACATGCAATGCAAGAATTAACTTTGGGACGTGAGGTGACATTGCAAAGAAATTTGCAAAGAGCACAGTTAAAATTCAAGGCTCTCTGAAACCAAGAAAAGCCTCCCACTGACTTCCATGAACTTTATACTGGGAACTAATTTAAGTGCTGCTCTTGTTTAATACATACACAGCATCTGATTGCAAAGACATTAATTTTCAAAGCACAGGAGGTGAGAATTAAGCATAGAACTACACAAATCAAATTATTTGTTCAATAGAATAATTTGCAATGATAAAGTGTCAGTATTCGCACATACACATAATACTCCTCAAACACAGATAAATATAGATTCAACTACATTAATTTCTTTTTAAAAAAGCTGAAAAAGCACATATATACAATAGATATAGGCACTTACAAACTGAAAATTAAATTAAAAGGAGGAAAAAATCAAAATATCGGAGCCAAATTTGAAAAGGCATAACGTGGCCAAGAACCACCGACTATTCAGGACTTCAGTTAATGTTTAACTTGAAAGACAGCAGCCCTCACACCACCGCAAGGCACTTGCCACTTGCACTAATTTTACAATAATAATGTATTGTAGGTTATTTTTGGCAGTCAGAACCTATCTAACTTGCATTAATTTGGTAAGACAGTGAGGCTACATAACTCATCACAAACACTACTAATGTCCCACACACTCAAGCAAGAAGAAACACAAACCAGCAAGAAACAACTCTAAGTGCAAAATTGTCATTATCAAATTCTGAGAAAATCCAGAGCAATTTGTTTTAGAACACAAACAAGGATAAATATTGCAATATAATTTAAGCATTTAGTATACAAGTATTGCAATAAAAATTTACTCTGTAATTTTAAGAACAAATCAGATCAAATTGTGACTTTGCGACAAGCAGAGAATTAAAGTAGTTATAACAGGCCATTCTGACAGAACAGATAATTCTGCCCAGAACAACTCAAGATTAGTGCTTAGGAATGTCCAATGAGACAATTACAAACATTCCCCCATTACCCTGGCATGTCAGCCAGATGATGAAAATTAAATAGGACAATATCATTATCCAAACAAAACTCTGTATAAATGCATTTTCCACTACTGAATTAGTTCACTTTTCTGTTAAAATATTAGAATTTAACTCTACAAACCTGTTTTGTTCCATTCCTCAGCTGAGGTTTCAGTGTCTTTACTTCCACCTGCCTCCAAGTCTCCTGAGGACTGTTTTATCAGATTCTTTACTCTCATCTTCTTTTGAAGGAGTTCCTGCTGCTTATCCACAAGTTCCTGTATCTGCATCTCCACTGCTTGCAGCTCATTCTCAATTGACACCAGCACCTCCTCTAGCACTGCAGGGAAAAGCAATGAGAAGGCACAATAGAGGCTACAGTCATGTAGCCAGTTTTAACTCCATTAACTGTACTCCAGCCAATCCAAACACAAGCATAACATGATCAAGTTGTTAACAGAAAGCATTTATTTACATGTGAGAAGCAACATTAACCTCAGCAAGTTAAATTCTGGAGTTGAAAATAGGGCCATTAGCAAAAAGCTATGCTTCATGCACCGAGATCTCCCTCCTACACAGAACAAGAGGATCTGCTGAACAACAAGGTTTGGATACAGAGGAAAAATGCTTTTACAAACACAAGCCATCTTTCACATGTGAAAGAAGTAAAGCAAATGCTCCCCAGAAACTTGGGTTACACAAGTGGATCTTTGGGAGGAATTTGCCTCTTTCCATCCCAATATGCATGTGTGTGAATTGCAGATTGCGTTCTAGAATCCAATCCCTGGAGTTGAAAAGAACAATTAACACATACACTTGCATGTATCACTATTCCAGAGCCAGGTCAGAAAAGCATAAGAAGAAATTACTTCCTCCCTCACACCCAGAAAACCCAAGAGATTTTGGCCCATGTACAGCAGATATGATAATATGGTTGTGGAAACAAAAATGTGTGATATAGGAAAAAAATCTTCATTTCAAATAGCACAAAATGGTGACAGTTGACATCCTAAATGCCCACTGCTACTTCACAGAAAAGAGTTAACACCATCTTAAAATATGAAGCATATTTTCAAAATATTGAAAACCAAGCAATTTCCTTAACAAACTTGATTTTCCTCATACAATACCTTGGGTTGGAAGGGACTTTAAAGGTCATCTCATTCCAACTTCCCTGCCACTGTACTAGGTTGCTCAGAGCCCCATCCAACCATGCCTTGAACACCTCCAGGGATGGGGCATTTTGGTTTAGTTTTACCTAAGAAATAGTTATCCAGGAAAATAATTCTTTTCTTCAAATCTTAAGTACAATAGCACAAGCTCCACAAACTCTTTTCTGCAAGCATTAAATCCATATAAATAAAAATCAGTAACATCAGGTGCCTTGTTAGCTAAGAAACAGCAACATGAACATATGGAATATTAATTATTGATTACCTGCAACAGCTGTCATCTTTGGAGATTAAAGAACTTTATCTTTAGGTCTTATTTAACAAAGCAACTGTCACTGAAAAGAAAATGAAATAAATACATTTTAAAATCTATTATGTAAGTAAACCTTCTCAACTTAAATTTACTACAGGAGATTCTTCGTTACCAGAGCTCTTAACGTAACAGGTTAAGTACTGGTTAATTTAATTTGTTTACATAAAGAAGCCCCACTAGATGACAACTGCTTTTCCTCTTCTGCAAAATGAACAAACACAAACTCACAACCAATTCCCAAGGGCACAGCCCACCAGGCTTCTAAATGAATCCAAGTGAATTTTAACCAAATCATGCATTTCCTGTAAGAGGAATGCTCTAACGTAGACCAGTCATTCACCAAGTGGCCATTATCATTTTTGATCTCTTCAAAGATTATTTAACAAAAAAGCCTGAACACATTATATTGTGTCCCTTAGAAAGGCAGCCACCATAACACTTAGAGGATCTCCTAGGAGGAAGTAAAAATGTGGCTTGATTTAGAGAAAGGGGATCGATTTTAAATAGATCATCAGTGAAATTAACATAGAATTGTATTTATTGGCTCATTTTTTGAACAACAGTCTTTGTCATATTATATGTTAACAATACCAAACTAAAGAAATGTGATCTTTTCTGTTACTGCAATCTAACTATTTCTTACATAGATCAAAGCAAAGTCCAATGGAAGGTGAAAGGGAATAAATTCAGCAGCTCCTCACTATCAGCTGATTCCACCATAACAAATATCTTCCCTGAGCCTAGAAGTGGAAAGGGAAATATATATTTAAAATGATGTGTGAAGAAAACACTTCCTCATCACCTAGGCCCAGATCCAGACGCCTCTTAATTACCTCCAGGGACAGCAACTCCACCACATCCCTGGGCAACCTACTGCAATGTGGGAATATTTACACGCATATAGCGTCAATATTATAGTTAACAGGTATACAAATATTTATAGCGAACATATACAGTGGAATATCCTTATCATTCCTCACCCACACGCCAGCTGAGGGCACGGTGCTTGCCAGGCCGGAAGCACCTACTCGGTAGGGCTGCAGGACGGGGCAGGATAGATGGACGGACGGATGGATGGGCAGGCAGGGAAACGCTTGTTCGGCAGATGCAGGATGGAGTGGGATGGATGGAGGAAGGGATAAAGGCTGCCAGGGCAAGCAGGACACCACAGCGCCTCACTGCCGCCTCCTCATATGCGGCGGACTCAGTCCTGGCTCGGGCCGATAGCTCCCACAGCTGCCCCAAGGGTCAGCGCCGGCCGCGCTCCCGCATCGTTTATCTTTTTTCCTTTACCCTTAATCCCGTCCCCCTCATCCCTCACCGCCACCGCCCCGCTGCCCCGCTCCCACCTGCACCGCGCGCGCCGGCCCCGCCCCTTCCGCCGCCCTCCGCAGCCACTGGCGCGCGAGGCCCGGCGCGAGCACCGCCTCTCCGCCAATCAGCGCCGACCGCGGGCCGTGGGCGGGGGAGCGCGCCCTCGCGGCGATACAAGGAGGCTGCTGATTGGCGGCGGGTGCGGCCAATGGGCGGGCGCCTCTCATGCGGCGGGGTGCGTGTTTCCGGAAGACGTGGCCGCCGCCGGTGTCGCTCCCGCTCGTCCTGATCCCGCTCCCGCCTCACCATGATCTCCCTGTCCGACACGCAGAGTAAGCGCCGCCGCCGCTCCCGGTGGGGGAGCGGGGAGAGGACGCCCGCTGTGGGGCTGGGGGCGTCGGGGGCCAGGGGGACCTAGGGTGGCCGGGCTCGCCGGGCCCGCACCCTTTGTCCGCGGTGGGGCCTCCCGGGAGCGGCAGAGCAGGTTCCGGATGGGCCCCTGGAGACCGGCTGGAGCCCACGGCGGGGTGGGAGCGGACAGGGCAGGGGGAGCTCTGACGGCTGCATCCCCGCAGTGGAAGCCGCGGCGGACCCGGTGCAGAGGTACCGGGAGCTGGCGGGGAGCACGGAAAGGGAGATGGGGTGGAGAGCGCCAGGGCAGCACTCGGCAGGGTCCCTCGCCCTTAGGGGACTCTGTCACCAGCGCGGCCGGCGTTTGTCGGGGGCTGCGAGTGCTCAGTGTGCTGTGGTGTAGCGTGACGGAATCACACAATGATTTGGGTTAGAAGGGACCTTAAAGATCATCTCACTCCAACCCCTCGCCATCGGTAGGGACATCTTTCACTGTCTCAGGCTGCTCAGCGCCCCATCCAACCTGGCCTGGAACACTTCCAGGGATGGGACAGCTACAGCTTCTCCGGGCAACCTGTTCCAGTGCCTGGCTACCCTTACAAGAAAAAACTTTTTCTGTTCTCTAACCTAGCCCCTCTATAGGTTTGTACCCATCACACTTTGACAGATCACTATCAATGAATGAATGAAAGCTGAACGGTAAACAAAGTAACTCTTAGCTCCACTCTTCCTGTGTACCTCCCTGTGGACCTCAGTGATCTGGAATCACTTATTTATCTAAATAGATTACTGTGCTGCTCATGCTGGTACCACACCAAATGTCTGCAGGTGATACTGAGGGGGCTTCGAGGTGAGGACAAGACATTGAAGTGGGAAAAAGTAAAATACTTGTATGTGGCCATAGTTTTGTTTCCACCGAAGTTCTTGGAAATAGAGATCAAAGAAATCAAAGTAAAGAAGTTCATAAGTGTGTCCTGGCAGCCAGGAAAACCAGCGGTATCCTGGGGTGCATCGAGAACAGCAGGTCAAGGGAGGAGATCCTGCCCCTCTACTCGGCCCCTGTGAGGCCACATCTGGAGTCCTGTGTCCGGTTCTCTGCTCCTCAGGGCAAGAAAAACAGGGAGATACTGGAGAAGGTCCTGCAGAGGGGAATAAAGATGAAGAGAGGTCTGAAGCATCACTAATGAGAAAGGACTGTGAGAGCTGGGCCTGTTCATTCTGGAGAAGACTGAGAGGAGATCTCATTAATGTTTATAAATACTTGAAATCAGTGCCAGACTTTCAGTGGTGCTCAGTGAAAGAAAAAGGAGCAATGGCCATGAAGTAAAACACAGAGTTTAATCTCAGCGTGAGGAAGCACTTCTTTACACTGAAGGTGGCAGAGCCCTGGAACAGCTGCCCAGGGAGGGCGTGGAGTCTCCCTCTTTGGAGACATTCCAAACCCACCTGGACACATTCCTTCATCACCTGTTGCAGGTGACCCTGCCTTGGCAGGGGGGTTGGACTGGGTGATCTCCAGAGGATCCTGCCAGCCCTAGCAATTGTGATTGTGTGGTAACAGCTTAAGCAGCAAGGTAAAGGACAATGATAGGCCTTTGATTTAAATTACCATCTCATATATGATGCATTTCTTGTATGATTGCCACAGAAGGAAATGAGTCTGCCTGATAAGCACCACAGCATCAGTTATGAAGGAGGGTGTGAAAACCTTAGGAAAAAAAAAAGTTAAAATAGCTAAGTTTGATAGCAGGATACTGGAAGTGGAGGTATTGGAGAGCCAGTTAACATCAAGGATGAAGACAGGCAGCAGAGTTTAGCAGCACTCAAGGTCAATGATTTCTTGAAATATTCAGATATTGTGCTGTTATTGGGATGAGTACTAACCCTTGGGGTTAATTTTTAGATTTCTGATTGATTATACTCTTTTGTGGGCTTTGCTTTTCCCCATACTGTCTGGAGTATTCGTTGGGCAAAAAAAAAAATCTCTTCAGAAAGGGACTTGCTGTTTCTCTTTTGTTTAGCTCCTCATATGGGACCTTCAGCTATTTCCAGTGCTAAGACTGTTGGTTTTGACTGTCAGAGACAAGAGTACTAAATAAAATACTATGATATTTAAAGGTTTTAAGGTTTAGGGTTTTTTTTCAGTTTTTCTGAAATTCTGAAAATAGTTCATCAGGGATCTTAAAGTTCACTGCTGTCTGGAAATATACAGAGTTAGCCACAGAGTCACTGGTGGAGTAGTGTGATAAATACCTGGAGAGAACACTGCGTCGGTTGGTGTTTGGAAAGTTAATTCTGCATCTGTAGTCTAGAACATCATTTTAACTGTTACATTGAATGGTGTTATAAACCACCAGTAATTGCAAAAGAATGCACATAGCTTTTCCCAAATTAAATTTTCAATACTAAAAAATACTGTTAGCAAAACAATAGTTACACATTGAATATGAACTGTATTAGCTTTTGTCTTCTAAAAGCCTATAGCACACAATTCCATTTTATTTTACACTATATAATGCATTATAAAAGACTGGGGATGTGCGTTGTCTGCCCTAATCTTTCACAAGCAAGGTATATTAATTTTGAATCTTAATATCTACTAAGCTGTTTTGAGACAGTGCTGCAGTACTCTTGCACATCTTAATGGAATTTCTGGAGAAACATGAAGATTTTCTCCCTTGTATCAGGAAATCATAATAATCCAGAATAAATACAGCCTAGCTAAGTTTCTGCATTTCTAGGCATTGATATGTTGTATTTGACTAATGTGGGAAATCTCTTCTGGCACAGGAGAAAATATTTTAAAATAGTTTGCTCCCTCTATAAATATTCATAGTTTGTTATTGAAAAGATTTTATACAAGAAGCCAGCACTTTTTCTTTTCCTTCCTGTAAGAAGAGTAGTTAAATATATTTACAGCCTCTGATATAAATCAAGTCAGTAAGACCTTCTGCTGAGATATCAGCATCAGAAGATAATAGTCTTGAACCATTCATCTTCTTCCAGCAGTTATTTTGGGATAATGAGTACAAGGTTCGCTTTTCTTTTTTCCTTTTCCTTCCACTAACCAGAGGATATGGGTGACTTCTGAAGTGAATCAGAATGTATTGTGACAGAAGTTATTACAAACAAGTGATTTCGGGTGATTAGAGAAGTGTCAGAGTGGTGATTGCAGCAGCTGTTGGGAGTTGGCCTCCGCCTCCTTGCCAGATCTTACCTTGAGCTGTGTCTGCGGGAGGAGTGAATACTCACTTCCCATGGCTGCCTGTTTATCTTGCTGGCAGCTGGTCATTCCTCTGGAGTCCGCCCTCCAAGTGTTTTCCTTCCAGAATACAGATTGTTTCTGCTCTTCTGAAGTAGAGGGTACTGGAGAAAAGGGCAGTTGCAATTGTTACATTGCCTTCAGTCAGCAGATCCATTGGATATACAACTTGCAATTCCATTTTTCATTGTAAACAAGTAGGGAGAGTGCCTTTAGTAAATTGTATTGAGTTACTTAGTGCTTTTAATCGTGGGGTGTTAAAATGCTCATAGTAACAGTTTAAAGTGGCAGGCAAAACTACAGAACTACAGCTCTAACAGCCTGTACTCTGCAGCCTTGCTGAAAGCCAAGCCTTTAGAGAAGTTTGGGGTGTGGAATGTTGCTGTAACAAATTTCTGAGCTGTTTTGAAATTTATTTCCAATAACTACTAAAACAGGCGTAATTATCTTCCTTTACTCCCAAGCTCATCAAGCAACAGCAAATGACTAACTACATCAACAAAGTGCAATTAAAATATATTGAGGTAGATCTGACCAACAGTAGCAGTGAGGGCTGTGATTGTGGATGTGGTTTTTTGTTTGTTTCAGGACATGCTTGCAAAACTACTTAGAACTTCAGTATGCACATATTGGGCTGCCAACCTGTCTATAGTATTAGGGCTGGTTTTGCTAAGCTGTTTTTGTGTGTCCTGTAGGTTTCTAAATTGTGTGGTCACAGGGAAAGCAATAATAAATGCATATGTTTGCAGCCCTGTTGCTGCCATTCCTGTTTTTTATCTCCCAGTCTGTGTGAGAGTCAAAGGAAGCCTTTAGAGACTTAAAATTAAAAGCAGGATGAATTTCTAAGAGCAGTCCTCAAGATACTTTAGAGGCTATTGGTAGTTTTAATCACAGCTTGACATTTCTATCCCGGTTTTTCATGCAGACTTTCCATCCTACTCTTGGCTTCCCAGTATTTCTTGAGCATCCTTTGCAGAACTCAAAGTTTATAGAACTGTTTAGATTGGGAAAAAACCTTTAAGAGCATTGTGTCCAACTGTTAATCCAGCACTGCCCAGTCCATAATATAAGCAAATATATTAACTGCAAAAGGTATTCTTAAATAATCTGCAAATCAAGATAATAAAATGAAAATTTTCATAAAATTAAACTGCTGTGCAACAATAGCAGTCTAGAGATATTTTATCTATGTGTAATGTAGTTCTACCATTTAATTAATAAAAATTAAATATGAAGCATGAAAATTATAATTGAACATTAGTCTCTCAATATTTAGTATCTGCTAGTTTTGTGAAAACTGGCAGTTGTTTGGAGACACAGGCTACTGTTTGATAGCTGTCAGCACATGTG